TCAGGCTAAACTTGCTAAAACTAAGTCTAATGCTTCATCATGTGCTGATAGTTCAGAATGCACTTCCTTATACCCTTCTGAAAAGGAGAAGCTTAGAATCTGATATAGGGTGGCAACGGCTGGTGGAAAGAAAAAAGATCATTTATATGGTGTTGGTGATCTTTCCTGTGTTTATACTGGTGGAGATGACAACATCCTTAAGCATATACATAAACATCTTCTAGTAAGTCCTGTGATGCAGAAGAGATTAACAAATTATAAGAATAACTTTTAGTAAGTGAGATATCAGTTAGTCTTTTACATTCCAAATTTGAGAATTCATTAATATTTTCAATTCATATCTTCCTCCTGGGGAAAAACAACTGAGACCTTTTTTTCAACATACTGATAATAGTCAAGAATGTTAAAAATAGTCAAGAACAACAATAAAATGAATGAACCAAATGGTCAACAACAAGGGCAACAAAATGAAAATTATGTTGAATATAGTGATTATTATGTAGTTCAATTTATGCACTTTTTGACATTGTGTTATTTGACTAATTGGTTGAATTTATTGGATATTGAACTAGTTTGATACTACGTTAAAAGTGTTAACACATGATTAATATATGTCTTGTTTTTAATTTTTTAATGTTTAGTAGATTTATTATTTGAATTCTAAAAACTCAATAAAAAAATATTAATGTTTAGCATGTTTCATTATTTGAATTATAGAAACTAAATAAAAAAATATGAAAAACAAATTATAATATTATATTATAATGAAATAATAATAACCATTTCCCACATAAATTTTTGTAGAAAATATCTATACGAAAATTTCCATGAACTTGTTAGTGAGAATTTTTCCATAGATAAATCCGCATAAATTTTTTCATAAATAAATTCGTGGAAATTTTTTATAAATAAATTTATAAAAAAATTCCCATGAATATTTTCTAAAAAAATTCCCATGAATAAAATATTTTGTGGAAAATAGTTTCTTAGGAGCCTTTTTTACCAACAAATTTTTGGTCGTGGAAAATTCATGGGAAAAATTATGTTTCCCATAGATTTTAAATGTTACCCACAAAATTTATTAATGGGTAATAACAATTTTCTTGAAGTGAATGTAATCAGTTATTAACCTAAAATAAGTAAAACAAACATTGCAAATAATATAATAGTTATAATAAATTATATAATACAAAAATATATAAATAATAATAAAATTATTTATCTTGTTATTATTTTAGTAACATTTTCTAAGGCATAACAATTTATATATATATTCTGAAAACTAACAATTGTCAACATCCCACAACCACTGACATGATGAAGAAGAAGATGAGATTTTTTGCGATATGATTTTTGTCTCTTTTGTAGTAGAAAATGAAACTAAATTGTTTTCTAAGTAAAAAGATAGTGTTGCATTGGTTTGTTTGGTGGGAAATATTTGCTTTAAGTTCACTGTCTAGGGTTTCAAATGGTAGAGTATGTGTTTGTGGGTTTTAAGAGATAATTTAAGCAAACCATGCACCATGGAGAATACTTCATTCTTACAAATCCCACTTATCTTCGTTCCCAAGCCATGAAATGAGGTTATCAACTCTCCTACTTTCATATTCTCTTGTTCAAAAGTATATGTTGCTATATAGAAAAAGTTTACGTGATTAAATAATTAAATTTTGTTCTACATATTTTTTTTAAATTAGGTATGTATATAACATGACATAATCTATTATTATCATGTAAAATAGATCGATTTCAATAAATGATAGGTTAAATTTCAAATAGTATGTACAAGTCTTAGAACATAATTCTTAAAATTATTGTGAGGTTCAATAACTTCTATGGTAAAAACTCTTAAAAAATCCATATATTTCTTATCATTTTAAATAATTTAACTCCATATATAATTTTGAATATCATCAAAAGATATAATAGATAAATATGATTTTTTTCTCAATTAATTCTCAGAAAAAAATATATCATTGATAATACATGTTCAATATTTATATAATGTATTTAAAAACAATGTAACAAATTATTAGTAGGCTTAAATCTACTGTAGTAATTTTTGCGTTTAATTTCTTAAAAAAAACGGAAGGATTAAATTTTTTAATTAATTTTTCACAGAGATTGTATATTGGTGAAACTATAAGAAAAAAAAATCTAAGCCTGTTTTTCATATAACATCAACAACAATAATAGAATTTATGATAAATAGAGATTTTACAATAAAATTTGGTGGAAAATTTAGTAATTATGCAACTTGATTATTGGTTAAAATAGAATAAACAACTTTCATTACCAATTATTATAATATATTAACTCCGAAATTTTATAATAATGGTTTTATAAAGAACAAGCAAAATTTTAGAATTTGTTACAAATAATTATCAAAGATAATAAAATTAATTAAAAAACAACCCATATTTTAGATAATACTAACTTCATTAGCTTTATTAATTTAGATGTAAAACAATTTTCGTAAATAATCATATTTATCGGTTCAAAAATATTTTCTTATATATTTATATGATTTAAGAATCAAGATTAATTGTATGTTATGTAATTTTTTTCCTAAAAAGTTAAAAAAATGACAATCAATTAAAATTTTCAAAAAAACATATTGTTTTTTATTATTTATTATGAGAAAAAAAACTTCATCTTACTTATTTTCTCTAATACTATATAAAAAAAATTGAATATCTAAAGCAAATTTAAGTTCACATACTTGACTTTTAGATCCAAGTGGTCCAAATCTTATGAATACAGCAAAGAGAAAAGGAAAAGGAATGAGAAATTTCTAAGAACTTTTATCTCAACTTTCCCCACTTTTTCCAGCTTAATTGCTGAGAAGCTTTCTAACACTTTTCATCCACTTCTTCTTCATCTTCTCTAATTATTACACAACTTTACAACACACGTTTTTTCCTACCTCCTCAAACATTACACTATTAAGACATTAAAATTACAAAACCTAAAAAATCAATTTTTTTTTTCAAATTTGACTAACAAATCTAAAATTAAAAGGGGAAAAAGTTCACATTGTTGATCATATGCTTGACTTTGACACAAGGAGAAATATATTAATTTAACCAAGAGTTGTTCACTTGTTAGTTCAATGTGACATTAACATTGTGTCACCCCACTATCATACATTACCCACCTACACTATAAAGGTACACATAACCAACTCCATAAAAACTAGCTACTTGGACCAAAGCAATATGCAATCATCACTATGCTCTTTCCTTTTACTCCTCAAAACAAAAACACCATTTCATGTGATAAATTAATGCATCCAAAAATTTAAAATACTAAATTTGCTTAAGATGAATATTAAATTATATAAAAATATTAATATTATACATTCCTTTCGATGCAAGGTAGAGTGATGCACCATAAAATAAAACATGCCTTCTTCATTCTTTTTCAAGCTTTACCTTTCCTTCAAATATTTCGTAACTACGTAGGTTACAGGACAACAAAAAGTAAAATAAATTAAAAGGAATTCCACCATAATTGCTTTTCTTAGAAGCAAAAATTGCTGCTGAAACAAGTTCGAGAACGAAAAAATAAAATATTTCAAAGGTAATTTTTAATTTATATTTTACTGTTAATTTTATTATATATATATATATATATATATATATATATTCAATATTATTAATAAATGCTTGATAATTTAGTCTTGGTGTTGATAATTAATCAAGAAATTATTGGAAGTAGTCTCTATAATCACTATCATTATTTTTAATTCCTAATATTTATTTGAAGATAGAAAAATAATATATAATTGATAATTTTGTGAAGTGTGTAGTGATATTATATCACTACACTGTTATACTTCATTTATAATAATAGTTATTAGACCTTTTAATACTTATAATAATAGTTACTCACTTATAACTTATCTTAAAATCTACCAAAGAAGATATTAAACGGAAAAAAAATACAGTTTATATTTTAAAATATATTTTGCATCAATATTTATGATATACAAATAATAAATAAAGACATTAGTAATAAAATGTTGTGAGAAAAATAAAATTATTAAAAACCTAAAGCATTAACTAGTAATTTTATTTTGATGAATATAACAATTAAGATAATTTTTATTAGGATAACTCATTTTATTGTACATACGAATTACATTCCAAATATATGCCAATCAATTTACGTACTTTTAATTAATTACATGGTTAACAATTATCCTAATACAACTCTAAAATGTATGTACCACCTTTGTTTATGGAGAAAATAGTCTAGGGGAGATTTTTTTTTGTCATTTGATTAAAAATTATCATATATAATTATGAAAAAGACTAATAATACACAGTTTAACATAACATTATGGTAAATTTCATTATCAATTATATTTATTAGATTTAATGAAGTTTTCATGAGTTTTTTTTTTAAATAAAAGAGTATAAATCAGTTTGTTTGTGATTATTGTTTAAAAATATTTTTGTAAATAAGAAATAAATGCTCTTTATACATGTTTTCTAATCTTATCATATTAAAAATAAGTAGTTTTTTTATTTTTTATAAGTAAATTTTAAAAAGTGAACTTTTTAATTTTTTTAAATTTAAGCTTGAACAAACCAGTTTAAGATAAACTTTTTTTTTTTATTTTATTAAATGTTTTTGAAACAAAAGAGAATAACCAAGTTGAGAAAAAAATAATAGAAAGAGACATTGGGTCCGACACCTCCCTGCTGTGTACATATGAACCTCTTTGGCGTTTTCTCTCTTTGGACTTCTTTTGACTTCAATCACTCTTCCTCTCTTTCTCTTCTTCTCTCTGCACTCAACAACCTCTTTCTCTTTTTTTTTTTTTTTTTGCTCCTCTCTCTCTCTCTCTCTCTCTCTCTCTCTGTCTTTCTCGCAATGCTTCTTCTCCTTCCAGATCCAGCTAATGCTCCACATTGCGCTCTCTCTGTCTAACCTTTGATCCCGAAACGACGCCTTCTCGCCCGGTTTCTCGCGCCAAAAACCCTAGATCTACGATGCTCCACCTCCGGCAGCGCCGCGATGCCACGCCGGCCACCACACGGTGGCGCAATACGGTAGGTAATGTTGAAATGAGTCGTCGCCGAAACTGTGCGGTTTTTCGAAGTGACGTGTAGTTTGGTTGTTGTGCAGTTCGAGGAGAATCTGGAGCAGTGGCCACACCTCAACGAACTAGTCCATTGCTACACCACGGATTGGGTCAAGGATGAGAACAAGTACGGACACTATGACTCAGTCGGAACGCCGTCGTTTCATAACCAGATATATGAAGGCCCCGACACTGACATTGAGACCGGTACTTTATTCCTCTATCTCTCTGTTCAATTTATTTTCAGTATATACAATTTTACTGCTTCTTATAATCTTAGTAGCTTTTGCATTATCGATTTTTGTTTTTCTATTTTTGGAAATTGTGAAATGGGGTTTTAAATGTGAGTATGCTTAATTAATGGGATAATGCTAATTATTGCACGTGACATTGATAGAGACCGGTTTTATTTCTCTTTTATTTTTGTTTTTATACTTTTGGCTTCTGCTTCTTCTCCAGTCATTGTATCAGCTTATTACTTGTTTTGCTTAAATTCTCCATAAGGGAAAATGAAACAAGTTTCTCTAGTATTTGGAGAAATTAACATGAGAAAAATCCTTTTAACTATTTTTTAATATATGCATAATATAATTTTAGCTTAATGAACACCTTATTTAATTTATTTTATCCAAGAAGTACTTACGTATAAGTTTATCGTAGCCTGATCGTATGCATTCTGCTATTTGCTGTTTCTTTCTAACTTTTTTAAAAACGAAATGGGGTTTAAATGGGAATGCGTTTAGTTACTGGGATAATGCAAATAATAGGATGTGACACTGACACCGGTGTTTATTTCTCTTGTATTTTTTTTTGTTTTGTTTTGCATTTTGCTTCTTGTTTATCGTATCAACTTCTGCACTCTGTCTTATGACTATCAATATCATGTGGGTGGGTTTAGGGTTGTGTTTATAGTGTTTTTAAGTATATTTATTTTGAGCCTGCATGGACAACCTTTTCCATAAGGACTTTTAGGAGAGAAAAATAGGAAGAAAATTTGAAATTAGATTCTCATGAGCTAAAATTAGTTTATGCATAAGATAGTTTGTAGTAGCTCTCTAATTTAGTTATTTTTTTTTAATATTTATTTTTAACTTGTGCATAAGCTTGGACAAACTCATTTCATTTTTTTTTCTTATTTTCCTTTCCTCTATCATACTAGGTTCTCCAATTTACAATTTTTTGTTTTATTTATTTTTAGTTCTGAAATGGGTATTTTTAGTCACCTTGACATTGGTGCGGAGTATTCACTATCTGTTGATGACTAATATCTGCTGAGAAACCTGATCATCGATTGTGAGGTCGGCTCTTCTCCCAGCCATGATTTTTTTTACAAAGCTCAAACATATGATACCACGTTTAAGAGATTCGAGTGTAGTTCCATTCAGACCAACAAAATGTTGCTTTATTAAATGGGGTTTTAATGTGAACTTGCTGATACTAATTATAGCATATGACACTAGCACTGATATTTTTCTTTTATTTTCTTTTTCTTTTTCTTTTGTTCATAGTTTTTTGCTGCTTCTATCTTCTTCTTCATCATACCAACTTTTGCATTCTGCATCATACATAATTGATAGCATATGGGTGATTAATGATTGTAGCAAGTGTTTGTATTGAACAAAATTATTGATGCATGCAGAGATGCGGCTTGCTGGGGCAAGGCGAATGAAGGGTGATGATATTAGTGAAGATGACACACCAAGTACTTCGGGAAGGAAGTTTCCAGAAGGTGCGGATGGTGACTTGCTGCATGCAGATGTTCCAAAGGTTGATGGGGGGTTTAGTTTATTTCCTTGTTTAAATTCTGTTTGGGAGATTCTATGCTATTATACTATTCAAGTTTGTAGAAACAGTATTGATACTGATTTTGGTTTTATTTATTTATTTACTTGAATGGGAAGCATATTGGTCAATCTCCCCTTCCTGCTTATGAACCTGCATTTGATTGGGAAAATGAGAGGGCATTGATATTTGGACAAAGGATACCAGAAACTCCTATAACGCAGTATGGCATTTGTGAGATATTGTTTTTGAGTAGAGTATATTTTGATCTGCTTTTGCTGTTTTTTTAGCCCAACTGAGTTTTTCTTTGTCATTCCTTTTCTGTTTGGCATCTCAGTGGAATGAAGATATCTGTAAAAGTTCAGTCTTTACAATTTCAAGCAGGACTGGTTGGTGAGTGTTATGCTGTTGGTGGGATGATGTGGTAGACAAATTGCTTCATCTCATTTTGCGACTGCCAACACCATGCTATTTAATAGTGTTTATGCTGAATGTGGGTTCAAGTGTCTGACACAGATCTCTGTTTTTGTTCTCTTGATTTGTAGAGCCATTTTATGGTACAATTTGCTTATACAATAGGGAGAGAAGAGAAAAGTTATCAGAAGACTTTTACTTCCATGTCTTACCTACTGAAATGCAGGATGTAAGTTATTCAAGTTCAACAAAGTTTTATGTATTTTTAATATATGATATCTAGATGTGATTTTGAATTGACCATGATTTACCCCATCCCCCCCATTTTTTCCAATTGCCAGGCCAAAATTAGATATGAACCTCGTGCAGTCTTTTACTTAGATGCACCATCTGCTTCAGTTTGTTTGTTAATCCAGTTAGAGAAGCATGCTACTGAAGAAGGCGGGGTTACTGCTTCTGTTTACTCACGTAAAGATCCAGTATGTATTGCCATTTTTTTTCCCTTTGTTGTTGTTGTTGTTGTTGTTGTTGTCTTCTTTGTGCTTTAGCTAAGAGTTTTGAGCGCTGTTCAACTATTATGTGTGTTGATATAGTATACAGGAGCATCCTTTGGACCCCAAAATGGGTGTATCAACTATGTATTAACGATCTGCTCTTCAATAATATCAAATTTCAATTCTTGAAGAGCAACCCATGGTTAATTTCTTTAAAAGAAGGTCTTGAGTGAAATAACTTAAGCTTTAAAAGCTAGATTCCCTACTTCTTACTATTAAGCCCAATACTTTTTAATTTTCTATTCAAACTAAACTTGATGATGGCATTTTGTATTTTCTTTTTAGCTTAGTCCATTTTGTCATAAATGAATCCCATGAATGACTTCTCATTTGAATTGGCCAAATGAAGTGCTTTGATTGGAGGATATGTGTTCCTTAAGCAAATCCCAATATTTTCCCCCGAAGCTGTTATCCACTAACATATTTTCCATAGACTTCCATCCATCCTCTGTCCTTGCTAACAGGATGTATTTCTATTTGTTAGATGTGGATATTCTTATTAATGCTCCCTTGTTGTCAGTGGGTCATCTCAGTTAGGTATAAAAGGTGGCAAAGCAAGCTAGTAGTCTCTCCAAATATTTTGCTTTTGTGAGGTGCTGCAATAGAGAAATGGAGAAGTCCTTGAATTGGTATATGTTGTAATTTTGTTTTTTTAGAATTGTCTCTTGATGATTTGGAGTTTTTCTTCACAAAGTCCTCCAACATAAACTCAATACAATTAGCTGTGCAAGGTATTAAATACACCCTTCTCCTGTTCTAAGTGAATATCTCTTCAGCAGGTTTCTAATTTGCTGCATTGTGTGTCACAAATTGGACTTCATTTTGTCGACGAATCTTTTCAACAATTCCATTCATTGTCTTAAAAGATTATGCTAGCTGTTTCTTATATGTTATATATCTTTTCAACAATGCCATTCATCGTCTTCAATGATTATGCTAGCTGTTTCTTATATGTGATGTATTAATACACTTCAAAATCACAGTTCTCTGAGATTATGTTTGAGTATTCAATGGTGAATGCAATAGAAACAAAGTTCCATTCCATTGTTTGGATACTTTATGATGGAACATGGTGACAGTTATTGGATAAACTTTTATTCTTATTTCGCCTGGTACTTTTTCCTAGTTCCTTCTCGAAATCTACATCTTCATTTTTGTGCATCTCTACCTAGTTACCTTGTTGGAAAGTTGAGTTGAGAGAGCACAAGCGTAAGGTGCATGCGTACAATGTGGGTTGCCCCTATTGCAAAAGAAACCTGCAATAAATTGGGACTTATTGCTCCTCTATTTTTTTTGTCATCGAATATGGGTGTTTGGGAATAATTTGTGGAAACAAAGTGGGGAACATAAAAGGTTCAATTGAATAGTTGGAATAAATTCATATGGGAAGGAATTATTGCAATGATGGAAGTGAGGGATTACTTATGAGCAAATGACTAGATTGTGGAGGCTGGATGTCTTCAACTGTGGGTGGAAGAAGCATGCAGTCTGAGAGGGAGGAAGGCACTCAATTAAAGAACTATTTTTCTTGCAAAACACCCCAACCCCTAAATTGGGGTGGGAATGGGGTTTTGAAGCATTGCTATTCAAGTTCAGGGTTTCTACTGTGTGCCCATGGACATGGTAAGAAGATCAGTAAAGGAAGTTAATATTGGGAAAGACAGTATTTATTATAATCTAAAACACAAAATTAATTCAATATAACATTCTTTTTTAGGTTATCCAAGCATTTGATGGCTATATTTAAGGCTTTAACACTGTGTCCATGGGCACACACTGTACGCAGTTCCATTTAAGTAATCTAAACAGTAGTACACATTAAAACTTAATTTCATTCCTATCCGTTCTCCTCTCCATCAATCTAAATAAAGCCTTAGAGCTGTTCACTAAGAAATTTAATATGGTCTTCCTTTCCTTAATATTCTTCACACCACCAGTCATGATGTTGCATTCTGGTTTCTTCCAATAAGCTATATTTTCTTCAATAGCTACCATGGTCAAATTCATTTGATGATTCTAATATTTGGACTCTCATCTCAGGATAGGACGGTGGCTTAAATCCTGTGCCATGTCTTGCAATCAATTCCAAGATGTCATGGAATTCATCTCTCCTTATCACATTGAATGGTATGACATGGCATTGTAGAAAAAAGAAACACTTTTTTGACATGCTTCCTCTATCTAATTCTTCTTAAAACTGTGCTTTAGTGTAGATTGATTACTTACTCTGCTTTTCATGAAAGTATTTCTATATCTCTCAACCATCTCATTCCCTTTTCTTCACCAACTTTTATATGCTCTCATTGGTGTTCGATTTCTTGATTAATCTCTCCTGCAATGGGATACAGTTGCCCACATTTCTTTCTTCACTTCATCAGGAACAAATTTGCATGCTACAACCATCTGTGTCCTTACTCTATGACCTTTGATGCTTCGTTTGATAAACCCATTGCTTATTATCTTCGAACAATGTTTGCATCTAATTTTTTTCCTTGCATCTTTGTTGATTGAAATATGCTTCCACCTCTCTACCATGTTCAAGAGTGTTCTTGTGCACTTTAGAACCCCAACTCAGCATCACCTGGGTTGCCACAGCGGCAGTAGCTGCTCTATCACTCCCTTTACCCCAACTGCCAAAACAGAGAAGGCAGGTGAAGCAACAAGTAAAACAAAGAAGAAAAACTAACTTTGAATCAGCACAGCAGCGTGAATGAAAAGCAGCTGAAACATCACCTAGAGAAGATCAAAGTACGGGCAGATGGGGGAGCAGCCTAGCAATACAGGTTGAGCCATAGCAGAAAAGACATTGAACCCGGAGAAGATGCTGATTGGAACAAGAAGACACAAGGTTTTACTGTTAGGCAAGTCAAAATGGAGAAAGAAATAGGACTCTTTTGGTGTCTTCAAAATTGGTCAACTTTACTTTTTTTTTCCCTCCAGAAGTGGGTTTTCTGATCAGCACACTGGATCAATCAATCCCACTAGGATCAGTTTTTGTAGGTTATTTCTATCAATGGTATCGTCAAAGTTATAGGAATGTATGATTTCACAGGTAAGATGAAGATATTGACCATCTATCTCAGCTTGGGAATCTGCACTTTATGTAGGGAAACTGAGAAAAGGGTAAGGAGGAGTGAAGAGTATAAAGGGAGAGCAAGTGTGTGATTTCTTTTATGTGGGGCTTGAAGATGCAATCAAACCATATGCTGCAGTACGGAACACATTATGAAAGAATGTGAACCTAGGCACTTGAACTAGGCTTTCAACTAAGGACATTAATGTGTTTTTTTTTCATTCTCTTTCATTGTGTACTTTGGGCTTGTTTTTATTGCTTTTTATTTTATTTTTTTTAATCTTGGGCTGGTACTAGAATGTGAACCCAGATTAATTATTGCTTTTTATTTTATTTTTTTAAATTTTGGACAGGTGTTCATAGGATGCTAGTAGCAAAATTTTACATTATTAGATTTAAAATCTGCTGGGTCTAAAATGCATTTCTGGCTTGGACTATTATTCTTTTTCTCTCTAAAATTCAATGTGTCCATGAATTTTTCTTGCTGACTGGTTCTTGCTTATTTATATGTAAAGTTTACAGGGTTACTGTTGTTTGTGTGTGAAGTGATGCCTTGTATGGGCTTTAACATTCATTTCACTTGGACAGGTGCACTTGACTGAGAGAGAGAAGCAAAAACTGCAGGTGTGGTCTAAAATCATGCCTTACAAAGAGTCCTTCGCATGGACCATTGTATCATTATTTGATAGCAGTATTGGTGCAGCTTCGGTAGGGCCTGCTTCCCCAAGCAGCCCTCTTGCTCCAAGTGTATCTGGTTCAAGTTCTCATGAAGGTGTTTTTGAGACTAGTGCAAAAATATCTTTAGATGGAAAGCTGAGTTACTCTACGGGAAATTCTGTGGTAGTTGAGGTTTCTAACTTAAATAAAGTCAAAGAATGCTATATTGAAGAATCACTTCAGGTGTGTGTTTCAGGTTTCCTGTCTTTGCTTTTGTTCTTAAGAAATAAATTTTATTTGTAATTTTTTTTGCTAAAAAAAACAGAAACTTGGTGAGTTGCTTTAGTTAGTTTGGAAAATTAGATTAAATGAAATCTTATTTTATTATTTTAATACAAAGAGATTATACAAGATATATACAGGAGACTTAAACTATTTTAGGAAATATAATAACTCTATTTTATTTTAGGATCCTTTGATTTATGGGATTGTTCCTAATTGTTCAAATCTGTACAGATTACAAATTTCCTAATTTATTCTTTCATAAAATATTATTTGATTTCCCACACTCCCCCTCAAGCTGGTGAATAGGTGTTTTCCATTCCCAGCTTGGATACAATCTTCTCAAAATTGTGGCAGCCTAGTCCCTTAGTAAGAATGTCTGCAATTTGGTCTTGAGAGGACACATATGGAGTGCATATCAAGCCACTATCAAGCTTTTTTTTGATGAAATGTCTGTCTACTTCAATATGCTTTGTTCTATCATGCTGCACTGGGTTGTGGATTATGCTGATTGCTGACTTATTATCACAATAGAGTTTCATAGGTTCTTCCCATTTTATCCTTAAGTCTTCTAAGATGATTTTAAGCCATAACAACTCACATATACCTTGTGCCATTGCTCGGAATTCCGCTTCAGCACTGGACCGAGCCACTATACCCTACTTTTTGCTTCTCCAAGTCACAAGATTTCCTCCAAGAAAGGTGCAATATCCTGTAGTTGACCTCCTATCCACAATTGACCCTGTATAATCAACATCAGTATAGGCTTCAAGCTTCACATTACCATTCCTTTTGAATAGAATCCCTCTTCCTAGAGTTTCTTTAAAGTTCCTTTAAGGTACTGTAAAATTCGGTGGGCTGCTTGTAAATGGGTCTCTTTTGGGTTATGCATAAATTGACTAATTAAACTCACTGCATAGGCAATATCTAGCCTGTTATGCGACAAATATATAAGTCTGCCCACTAATCGCTGGTCCATATCTTTTTCAACAACAACATCTTCTTCTGCATTTTCAAGCTTTAGGTTTGGTTCTAATGGGGTACTAGCAGGTTTGTAAGCTGCCTTACCAGTTTTCTTGAGCAAATCAGTGATGTATTTCTGCTGGAATATAAATATCCCTTTCTTGGAGTGGGCAACTTCAATTCCCAAAAAATATTTTAGTTTTCCCAAGGTCTTGATCTCAAATTCCTTGCCTAAGCATTGACTCAACAATTGTTGCTCTTCTTTATTATTTCCAATTAATATTATGTCATCCACATACACCAATAATATTGTTACTCCCCTGACTTGGAATGTTTAAAGAACAAAGTATGGTCCCCTTGGCTTTGTTTGTAACCCAAACCTGTCATAACTTTAGGAAACCTGCCAAACCATGCATGGGGGGACTGTTTTAGCTCATATAATGCCTTTTTCAACTTGCAAACAGTGTTGGCAACACCATCTCTACCATATCCCGGAGGTATCTCCATATAAATTTCTTCTTCAAGGTCTCCATGTAGGAAAGCATTCTTAAGATCAAATTGTTCCAAGTTCCAACCATAATTAGCAGCAAGGGACAATATCACCCTAACTGTGTTCATTTTGGCAACCGGAGCAAAGGTCTCCAAATAATCAACTCCATAGGTTTGGGTGAACTCTTTGGCAATTAGTCTTGCCTTATATCTCTCAATTGATCCATCAGTCTTGTATTTCACTGTATAGGCCACTTACATCCAACTGGCTCTTTCCTATTGGTAAGGTGACTAACTCCCAGGTGTTGTTCTTCTCGAATGCTTCCATCTCTACATCCATGACTTACCTCCATTTTCTTTCAGACAATGTCTCAGATAGGGTATTAGGAAGAAGTGTAGTGTTTAGGTTTACTAGGAAGGTTTTATGGGTAGGAGAGAAATTTTTAAACGACAAGTAATTTGAGAGAGGGTAGAGTGGTTGTTTGGTGCATTTTCTTTCCCTTTTCTAATGGCAATTGGGAGGTCAGGATAATTTTGGGTTTCAATTTCAACCTACACAGCTGGAGAAAAAATTACCTCTTTTTGTGGAGTCGAGTTGGATTCTTGAACATGACTTGATCTTGGAATGACCTTAGTCTTCCTTGAGTACACTAGCTTCTTACCAAATTTTCCAGCTTCAACATCTCCTTGATTAGCTTCACAATTAATTTCACTTTCTTGACCAACTTCCTTTTCTTGACCAATTCCTTGACTTGTTTTACTTGTTACAACTTCAATTTGATCTCCTTTAGGTTCAAATATCAAGTCTGGAAGAATGGGAAAACTAGAATTACTACTTTCCTTATCTTCCCTGAAACTCTCCCCCTAAAGATAAGGTTGATGGACATAGCCTTCTTGTTAATTGAAGGTAACATCCCTAGACACAAATTTTTTTGGATGGGGGGTGATAACATTTATACCCTTTCTGAGTGGGTGAGTAACCAACAAAGACACACTTTAAGGCTCTAGGATCAAGTTTTCCCCTGTCTATACTATGAATATGGACATATGAGATGCATCCAAAAACTCTTGGTTTAAGACTATTTGTAGTGGACAGGTTTGAATAGAAAGACGACAAAGCTTCCATAGGGCTTTTTGATCCTAAGACTCTAGAGGGTAGTCTATTGATAAGGTATGTTGTTGTAAGGACAACTTCCCGCCAGAAATTTTTTGGGACACTTTTTTGGAACAACAATGCCTGAGTCTGATTTAATAGATGTCTATTTTTCCTCTCTGCGACCCCATTCTACTTTGGTGTTTTGACACAAGAGGACTCATGAATTATACCTTCTTTTTGACAAAAAGAATTAAGGACATGATTGAAGTAATCTTTGGCATTATCTGGCCTAAGTCTCTTAATATTAACACCAAATTGATTTTTTTATCAAGGAGTGGAAGTTTAGGAAGACAGAGCTGACTTCTGATTTTTGTTTAAGTAGGAAAACCCAAGTACAGTCATCTATAAAGGTGACAAACCATCGAGCACCAGACACATTTGGAACATTAGAAAGTCCCCATACATTAGTATGAACAAGATTAAAAGGGAAATTGCCAATTCTATTACTTATTGGAAAAGATACACGCTTGTGCTTAGCAAGTTCACACACCTCACAATGAAGACTCTCAACATCTAACTTGGTAAACAGAGAGGGAAACATAATTTTGATCATTCCAAAAGAGGGATGTCCCAACCGACAATGATAAAGCATGATTTTTTCTCTGTTGGTCATCAAGGATTCAGATATGAAGGAGTGAGATATTCTGTTCTTGCTGGACAGACTTGGATCTTCGAGATAATAAAGGCCATTCCATTCTCTAGCATGTCCAATCATCCTCCACGAATCCTTGTCCTGAAATACACAATGATTTATGAAAAAAACTTCACATGACAAATCCTTTATAAGTTTTTGTATAGAGACTAGGTTGGTGGACAACTTTGGGACATGGAGAACATCTTTTAAGGTTATTAAAGGATTGATTTTGATATTTCCTTGACCAGTTACAATTATAAGGGTTCTATCTGCTGTGGCAATTTTCTTGTTGCTGGGACATGGGGAATATGTGGAGAAGTGTTTGGCTAATGGTGTCATGTGGTCTGTGGCTCCAGAGTCCAATATCCAATAATGGTTAAAAAGTGTATCTAAGACATTTAATCCAAAAGAAAGTGGAAACTTACTTGAGTATGCCAAAGAACACACACCTGTAGGTTTTTCCAGCTTACTAAGAAAGGTTCTCACCCTTTCTATCTCCTCTTGGTTAAGATGAGCAGCAGTTTCTGGATTATTTCCTTCATTTGTTTCAGCATCTTTCCTTAAGGAGCCTCCTCTGTGTCCCCCTTCTCGATCTCGATTTAAAGGCTACCCATGTAACTTCCAGCACTTCTCTCGGGTATGACGAGGCTTATTGCAGTAGGTACACCTGAGACCATCATCTTTCTTCTCCATATTTGTTGATCCTCCTTTCTTCTGTTCGGCTACCCCCTTTCTACTCAACATTGTACGAAAAAGTTGGACCCACTTCAAATAATTTCTTCCATTTAGTCTATATGCATAATGAATATTCTGCATTTCTCCATATTGCTGGGATTGGGTATTCCCTTTTTCTTGGGTTGGGTTCACAACTTCCTCTTCCCTTGACATTATAGCAAGAAGGTGCGATGCAGCAGCAATGCAGGCTGCCGTCTTAGGGTTAAGAAAAATGCAGCAGTAATACAGGCTGCCGTCTTAGGGTTTATAGTGCGCAGACAAAACTTCCTAAATCGAAAGCTCTGATACCATCTAGAAAATTAGATTAAATGAAATCTTATTTTCTTATTTTAATACAAAGAGATCATACAAGATATATACAAGAGACCTAAGCTATTTTAGGAAATATAATAACTCTATTCTATTTTAGGATCTATTTTAGGAAATATAATAACTCTATTCTATTTTAGGATCCCTTGATTTATGGGATTGTTCCTAATTGTTCAAATCTGTATAGATTACAAATTTCCTAATTTATTCTTTCCTAAAATACTATTTAATTTCCGACAGTTAGTAAACACTCATCAGGTCTATATTATTTATAACGATTCAGATTGAAGTACATTAATAGGCAAATAGAAAATGTAACGCACTTGGTTAATGAAAAGCCACTATACCTAGACGTTAGTTCCCTATAAATAAGAATAGAGACAGTTTCCAGCAGAGCAGAAATGGAAAACTTATGACTATAAATAGTACTGATGGATCTGAACAGTCATATCACTTACTTTTAAATGATTTTCAAGATCCATTTCCAACAACTCTGGCAATCATTAGGCGCTATATTACAATCGGTCAGCATGCATTAAATATTGTTTATTTATTGCTTTCCTCTTATATAGGTTTTGTTTATTTATTATTTTGTTGGTTTTTGTTCATATGCACTATATTATACTTATTTAGTATGCTTTAAATATTTATTTATTTATTTTCCTCTTATTTGGTTTTGTTTTTCTGCCCCTCCATCTGATTAAATGTTAAATAGTGATTGCATGGTCCTCTTTGATCAATTGTTTGTTTTATTTAATGTAATTCAAATTTGTTTTAATTGTTTTTATTGTTTGAGTTTTTTAAAATTATCCAAAAATCCGGGTTGGTCTTTACACACTATGCTGTACCACTTCTTATAATATTGAGTCCCAGCTTTTGGTAACTGTGCATTTTTCTTTTCTTGAGAATTCAAACTTCTATGATTGGTATGATTAAAGAAGTAGAATTCATTCAACTCTGTTCTGTTTGTTAAATGGTTAGGATCCTAAACGCAAGGTGCACAAACCTGTCAAAGGTGTTTTGAGGCTGGAAATCGAGAAACACCAGATGTCCCAAGCTGATCTAGAAAATGTGTCTGAAAGTGGTAGTATAACCAATGATTCTGTTGACCCAGGGGATCATGTTACCGATTCACTGTCTGGAAAGTATCCTAGTAATGGTTGTGATGATCCTCAGGGGAGCAACCTCAGGGTAGTATCTCCAGCTTCTGGAAATGGAGCAACTCAACATGGAAATTCAGATTTTAATGCTGAAGATGTAAGTATTATTTCTTTTGATAAAATTGACAGCCTTTAGTTATCAGATGGGATTTGTTTTCTTCAGTAGAATTTACTTTTTAAAAGAATTAATAATGACAGGTTCTGTCTTAGAAGTGAATTTGTGTAGCTGAGTTCTGGTTGGTATTTTCTTTAGACTTAGTCTTTGCAAGGAAGATAGTGGTAACTAATGATATTTTATTGTATGATCATGGTGACAGCTTTATGTTATGATGGACCATACCCAGGTGTTAAGTTTTGTCATTGTTGAGTAAATTATGAGAACAAAGTTACTTGCTGTTATATGTTAGTAACTCTTGCATTGTTACACCAAAATGCAGTGTTACTGATGTGGGGTCCACCTGCTAGATTGTCTTAAATTGGACATATCTGGTCATATGGGTTTCATTATTTAAGGGTAGCATAAAAGGGAATTTATTATATTCTGAACCACTTAAGGGAGGGCCTAATTTTAAAACCTGTGTTTCTTTCTGAGTTGTCACTTCTCATGTTCACTTCTCGAGGGATCTTGGAATCTTACTAGCCTATGTTGTATTTGGTTTAGACAATAATGTCAACAGTGCTTAATTTTGTAGTACTGTGGTTTTATGTAATTCTATTTATATATGCCATGCCTCTACTAATGTGATTTATGTTGATTAACATATAGTTCCATGCATTTGACTTCCGCACTACAACAAGAAACGAGCCTTTTTTGCAACTTTTTCACTGCCTGTATGTGTATCCGTTGACGTTAAGTTTGGGTAGGAAAAGGAATTTGTTTATACGGGTTGAACTCAGGGAGGATGATGGTGATATCCGTAGGCAGCCATTGGAGGTAATGCCCTTTATTCTTGTGTGCTTGAGGAATTCCATGGCTTCTTCTACATTTTCATCTTATTTGTCTTTTGGGTGTAACTCAATCTGCTCAGGCGATATATCCTAGAGATCGTGGTCTAGATGCATCGTTTCAGAAGTGTTGCCATACCCAAATTGCTGTTGGAGCTAGGGTTGCTTGCTACCATGATGAAATTAAACTTTCCCTTCCTGCTATGTGGACACCAATGCACCATCTTCTATTTACTTTATTTCATGTTGATCTGCAAACGAAATTAGAAGCTCCAAAGCCGGTAAATTCATTCACACATTTCGCTCAATTTATTGTTTTTTCGTTCCTTCATTTTACTGTTGGTGTCTGGGGCTGAATATTGATTGTTTGGAATTATACTTAATATTTTACAGGTAGTAATTGGATATGCAGCACTTCCTTTATCTTCTCATGCTCAGTATGTTCCCTTAATTTGGCCTTTTATCCTTTGGTTAGACTTAAATGTTTATTTTGTTAATTAATGATACTTCTTGGTTGGTTGTTGATGCTCAGCGAAACTAAAATGTACTGGTTACCACAGAATCCTCAATTTCAATTTTAATTACCATAGTATTGATGGCAAGGCTGGATCTAAAATTTTACATCTGATGATTTAGAAAGACTCACTTCTTTTTTACTTGTGGCATGCTGGTTATATTATATCTCTTTTCTGATGTTATACATGAGCAGATTAACTAATAATTTCTAACTGGCAATTTGAAAAGTTTTTCAGCCTTTAGCATATGTGTATAATCAATTAGTGGATCATAAACACCAATTTGAATGTGAGGCAGTGAAAGCTATGTTGTACGTATGCTAACCTAAAGACAAAGCTTATGGGATTATTTTCAAATAAATGAAATAGTCTTATTGTATTGGAAATATTTATTGCTACATTGGTTATGATAATTTCTCTTATTGGCATGGTTTCATTGTAGCTGATAACGGATATGTTTTGCCAATTCTTCATTTATGTTCTTCACTTCCTATTTTCCTTTTATATTGTCAGAACTAGTTATCTCTTGAAGTGCGTACTCGGTTGTGCACTTTGTGGTCAAAAAGTTTTCATTTCCCCCAGTTTACTAGAGAGTATTTTAAGGAGAAATCCTCCTATAAAAATTTACCAAACATGTGCTTATACTCTTAACTTGGTATATGGAAGCTTATGCTTTTGTGATTCCATACAGGCTGCGGTCCGAAATAAATCTTCCAATTATGAGAGAATTGGTTCCTCATTATCTACAGGATGCAGGACGGGTGCGTTTATTACTGTACACTTATGTGTTAATTGTTGTTACTTTTCTTTTTCTCTTTGGCTACTGTGAACCAATGGTATGTTTGGATGGAGGATGGGAAGGTTTTCTTTGATTAAGAGTAGTATAAATGGGTGAAGAAAGTGAGTGTTCTTCATACAATTGTTCAAAACCTCCCTTATAAGTTATAACTGTTAGGATCCTATTGCAATGTATGGGAGTTGAGTCCCAAACTCCCATATTGCAAGTATGGAAATCTAATGCTTGGTTTATAGGCCTTGTGCTCTCCCACTACAAGACATTTTATTTTTTCACAATTTTGGAGGATATTAAATATTCATAGACAGGGAGCAATACTTATTAGGATCATGCATTAGTAAACTTATAATGTGATTGTCTAATTATTGTAAATTTGTAATGATGGTTACTGGTCTTGTGAATTGTAATATGGTGCATAATATTGTATTGGACTGCACTTAATTTTTTGTGGCTTTGGATTGGTTTCTATTATTATGTTTGAATTTTGAACTCAAAACTCATTTTATATTACGGGTTCTTCATTTATGATAGGAGAGATTGGATTATTTGGAAGATGGGAAGAGTGTATTCAGATTGCGGTTACGGCTATGTTCTTCATTATACCCTGTCAATGAACGAATTAGAGATTTCTTTCTTGAATATGATCGGCACACTCTTCGAACAAGTCCACCATGGGGTTCTGAACTTCTGGAGGTATCATTCTAGTCAAGCTTTATTATTGTTTATCATTTTTATTTATTCTGGATTTGTGTAGATATCATCTCATATATGTTGTACTCATTTTTGGGGCTACATTTCTATTTTCATTCTTGAACTGGAGGGGACATGTTTGATATTTTGACTCTATATATGTACATGTATACTTGTGAAGTTCTTGATTATGATGTCTTGTTTTTTTGTTTTTTGTTTTTTTTTTCTCAATAAATAATTGTTTTCAGTAGTGTGGAAATGAAAGAGTGGATGATGGAAACCATACATAATTGTATTCTCAATAAATAATTTTTCGCACATAAGTTGGTAAAAGTATTATTGTATTTATACAGCTTGTTGGTGATCTATGTTTGACTAGGGATGTGACTAAAATGGTGCATATAGTTGAGGAAACAATGCTTTACCTTACAATACAATTTTGTTGGATTGAGTTAATTTAAAATCACATTTTAAGATGATAATATAGCCCATCCTATACTTGTTAAAAGGGCTGGCGACCATATTATAAATTTGCCAAGCTGAAGAGTGATGAGTGTGAGCGGATGCATTGGGAAAAACCCAAGTCTTGTATTGAATAGAGATAAAGTCTGAAAAGAATATACAAGTGGGGAACAACTTTTTATAGAACTGAACCTTCTGTATTATTCACACATCTGCCACTTGCTACCTTAGTGTTATAATAACTTGTATCTTATTTGCATTTTTACACCAAAGGGCTTGAAACATGGTCAGCATTCATTCCTCCTCTCTATATTCTGAAAATCATCCCTTTCTTGTTTGAATGGGGTTACCAACCTCCTGGTTGAGGTTCAATTATTGAGTTATAGACCATGTCTTTAAATATATTGTAAATTTAAATGATTTTAGAAAAGTTTTAGGTTTTTAGTTATTTTTAAGTAGATTGCTATATATATATATATATATATATATATATATATAGTATACATCTTTCATGGGTTTCTTTTTCAAATGATTACTTAAGATTCACTTATTCTTGATGCAGGCTATTAATAGTTTGAAGAATGTTGATTCCACTGCTTTACTTCAGTTTCTTCACCCAATACTTAACATGCTACTTCATCTTATTGGCAATGGCGGAGAAACACTCCAGGTTTGCACATAAGTTAGTTAATTTTCTTACAAAAGTGCCTTGGAGTTGAATTTACTGTTTATAGTATCCCTTTATATTTTGTTGGTTTGTTCTTTCTCTCCTTTCATTACACATGTGGTTTGCCTCTTTCATTATATTTACCTTTCCACCATTGTTTTCAGGTTGCTGCGTTTCGAGCCATGGTTAATATTGTAACCAGGTATCCCTTTTTCCTATATTTGATCCAAACTAAATACATTTCTATTTGTTGTCCGAAAAGAAATTAAGGGGCTGTTTGGTTTGAAAAAAATGTTTCCTTTTTTCACTTTTACCAACAGTCCCTTGGTATTTTCATATATAATCATTCATTTATTTTAGAAGCTCTTGTTCTTTGATTTGTACTTCTTAGATTTGTGCTTAAGTAAGGCTTAACTTATAACTCCTAAACAAGCTTGTAAGGTGAGAATTGCTGAGATCTTATGAGCTCTATTTAAGTCATATCTAGACGACAGGAGACTAAAAACCTCCTTCTTGCAATTAGGACAGTCATAAAAAAGATAACAATCAAGGATTGCTAAGGCAGACCACGATTACTAGGGCAGACCACAATTACGGTGGCTTTCCATTAATGCTGCTATATCATAGTACTTTATTTTCTTAATAACTATGCTTGTAGGTGCACACCTTTGCTTACAGAGGTATTAAGAACTTCAAATCCAGTTTCTTGATTAAACATTTTTTTTATTGCAATTTGTTATAACCTCTTCGAAGGACAGACATCCAGAATGGTAGAATTAGGATAACCAGGAAGTATTTGTTGTCCTTGTTATCACTTGTAGTTCATGGTATTTGTGTCACATGCAATTATTAAGTAGGCATGCAATCTGTCTCACTCTTGTAACCAGATATGCAAGATGAAAAATAAGAAGGGGAAAAGACACATGAATGCATAGCTATTAAATCTCTGATTTGCCAATTGTTTGTGTCTTTTTAATGTTGTGGGAAATTTACTCTTAGATTTTGTATCTGTGGTTTGTAATATATGAGTTTATTGTAGGGTGCAGCAGGAGTCAGTTGATGATGCTGAAAGAAACCATTTTCTAGTCAACTATGTTGATTGTGCTTTTGATGATTTTGGTGGTCGTCAACCGCCTGTCTATCCTGGACTGTCTACTGTTTGGGGAAGCTTGGCACGAAGTAAGGTACTGCATGTCAATTTATCATTTGTTTATTCAACTAGCTCTTGTTAGTGGTAATAATCACAGCCATCACTTTTCTGTATTGTTTTTCATTATGCTTTAGAAATAAGCTATGTGCATGCATATACTAATTTTTGTGTTAGGGGTCCTACTCCAAGTTCCTCAAATGGTGGGTGATAGTGTATGAAGTGTACGACTCAGCATTTGTTGCCTACTACCTAATTTTGACTTTGTTATTTTGTTTAACTTTTAGTATTTGGATGAATTTCATGCTATTGTAAGATTGTAGCAAACAAAATAAGTTAATTAGCATTAGCATGATTTCTCAAATGTATGTTTCTTTTCACCCTTCAGGGCAGTTAATAAAATGGGTTCATGTTGCAGGCCAAAGGGTATCGTGTTGGACCTGTGTACGATGATGTTTTAGCTATGGCTTGGTTTTTTCTGGAGTTAATTGTTAAATCAATGGCATTGGAGAAGACTCGCCTGTTCTATCACAGCCTTCCAATAGGTACCCTTAAAAGCTTATCTCTGATCTATGTATGGCCTTTTAAAAAAATTTAATTCTTTTAAATTCTCCTAATAATTCATTTCTAATTGTTATCCCGCTACAAATAATTTTGGTATAATTAGAACTGGGAATCAAATTTAGTTTAAGGATTACATCATCCTGGCTTTAAAATCTGTATGGCTTTCTCTTAGTCTGGGCTGTTTGAAAAATTTAAAAGAGGGGTAAACTAGGCCCACTCTGTTTAGCAAATGTAGTAAATTGGTTACGGTATTATATGTGTTTATGGTAGGATCAAATTGCATTGGTGTAACTTTACCAACTACTAAACCATGAATAGTTTTTAAATGGATGAAAGATAGTTCACTGAAAAATTAAGAGATGAAAGTGTAATTTTTATTTTTGAAAAGCCAAGTTATAATGAGAGTAATATTTTCAGCTATTTATAGCTCACTGTGTATCCCAACTAGCTAAACTAACTTCATGCGACTAACAGTAAGTAACTGCTTGACTTTTTACAGCTCAATACAAATCAGGAGTGTACAATACTCTAATATTGGATAATATTTTCTCAACCTACTTTTAATTAAAAATTTCCTTTTGAAAGATTATATGCAAAAAAAAAAAAATTTAATTCCATTTTTGTTTTGTTCCTCCTTCATGTACATTAAAATTAATGTAACATACTTTTTAAACATGTATTGATATGAATTATTTGACTGCCTTCTTATTGTTGTTCATTTTTGACAAAATTTGTTACAAAGAATCATATAGTATAAATCATCGGTTGGATTAATAAAAAACACGTTATATGTATTGCAGTGCCTCCATTCTCTCTCCATTTAGATTTAAGGTCTATTTAGTAACTTTGCTTAGAATTTTCTTGGTCTTCTACCTTTATCCATTGAGTTATCCTTCATCTTAACAACACTTCCTGTGATTCCTGTTAGAATTATTATTAGATAGTGGTTAGTGGTTAGTGGGTAGTGGTTAGTAGTTAGTAGTTGGTAGTTGGTGGTTGGTGGTTGTTAGTAGTTAGTGGTTGTTGTTGTAAATGTTGTAATCCTATATATATATATATATATATATATATATGAGATCATAGAGTGGAGTAAGTATCCCACAAAATTAGAAATCTTCTTTTCATTCTCTTTACTCTCTTAACTTGGTATCAGAGCAGGTTGGTCCTGCTCTGCCTGTCCGGCCACCGTCCGACCATTTCCGGTCACCGGCTGGCCATTTTCGGTCACCGTCCGACCACTTTTCGGCCACCGTCCGTTCACTTTCCGGTCACCGTCCGGTCACTTTTCGGCCACCGTCCGGCCACTTTCCGGTAACTTTTCGGCAACCGTCAGTCCCCGGTCCAGTCACCTTTTTTTTTTGCTGTCGTTCGACGACTTTTCCGACCACCTTCCAGTAACCTTCAGGCTATCTTGGGTGTCCTCTTTCTTACAGGTTCCATTGTCTCCATCTTACATCTACATTATTTAAAACATGTCGTCAGGGCCCACAACCTCCTTTTCCGAAACTCCCACGATAACCGCTGAGAAATTAAATGGAAAAAATTACATGTCTTGGTCCTCTTCAGTGGAACTTTGGTTCCTTGGACAAGGGTTTCACGATCATCTAGAAGAAGACGGAAGTAAGATACCAGAAGATCAGGCTCAACAATGGAAAAAGCTTGATTATCAACTCTGTGCTCTACTGTGGCAATCAGTAGAACCAAATATTTTGAACACTCTCATATCCTTCAAAACATGTAACTCTTTCTGGAAAAAAGCTCAGAATATCTTCGCAAATGATATCCAACGCCTCTATGATTCCGCTAATCGATTAACCTCTCTCAAGCAAGTGGATAAAGATATGATGACCTTTATTGCTGAAGCTCAATCAGCAGTTGAAGAATTAAAGATGTTCCTAGAGGTGGATTCGTTAGAGGATATAAAGCAAAAGTTGGATAAATTCTATATGGTTATGACTCTCCGAGCTATGAATTCAGAATTTGATCATGTTAGAGATCAAATTTTAACTGGACAAGAAGTTCCTTCTATGGAAAGTTTGACTACAAGACTACTTCGTGTTCCAACTCTCAAAGGAAAAAATAATCAAGAACTTGTTGAATCTTCTGCTATGATTTCTACCCGTGGAAGAGGAAGTCGTGGCACTAGAGGAGGACGTGGAGGTAGAGGACATCCTCAGTGCACTCATTGCAAGAGAATGAGTCATACAGTGGAAAATTGCTACTCTTTGCACGATTTTCCTGATAAAATCGTCAATTTTTCCAAATCTGAAATGGTTGAACCCAAGTTCTCTCACGAAGAATATCAGGAATATTTGAGGTTGAAATCCAGTAATCTAGCACAGTCATCAACAACCCCAAATTCATCAGCAGCTTGCATTTCACAATCTGTGGAAAGTCAAAATCCATGGATTATTGACTCAGGTGCTTCTGATCACATGTCTGGTAATGCCTCTTTGTTCTCTTCTCTCTCATTTCCTAAAACTCCTCATCTCATAACCTTAGCCAACGGATCTAACGTAGCCTCTAAAGGAACTGGCCAAGTCTCCATTTCTCCGTCTTTAAACTTAAAATCTGTTCTTTTTGTTCCTTCGTGTCCCTTCAGTCTCATTTCTCTAAGTCAATTAACCAAATTATTGAATTGTTCAGTAACCTTTAATACCAACTCTTTTGTTATACAGGAACGTGGTACGGGTCGACAGATTGGCGAAGGACATGAATCTGGAGGTTTATACTACCTTGGGACTAAATCATTTGTATCTTGTGTTGCATCGTTGTCTCCAAAACTATTACACGAACGGTTAGGGCACCCTCACTTATCAAGATTAAAAAAAATGGTTCCTGAACTTCAGACTCTTCAAGATTTTGAATGTGAATCATGTCAACTAGGGAAACATATTAGGTCCTCTTTTCCTAAACGTTCTGAATCTAGATGTGACTCTGTCTTTTCTCTTGTTCATTCTGATATTTGGGGTCCTAGTCGTGTCTCATCCTTTGGCTATAGATATTTTGTTACCTTCAGTGATGAGTTTTCTAGGTGTACTTGGATTTATCTAATGAAAGACCGTTCTGAATTATTACCTATCTTTAAGTCTTTCCTTAACGAAATCAAAAATCAATTTGGAAAAGTAATCAAAGTTTTACGAAGTGATAATGCCAAAGAATACTTTTCTACTGATTTCTCCACTCTCTTAAGCTCCCAGGGCATTTTACACCAGTCTACTTGTCCTCACACACCACAACAAAATGGTATAGTAGAACGAAAAAATAGACATTTGGTTGAAACTGCTCGTACCTTATTACTTGGTGGAAATATGCCCGTTCATCATTGGGGAGATGCTATTCTTACTGCATGTTTTCTCATTAACAGAATGCCATCTTCTTCTCTTAACAATAAAGTTCCACACTCTATTCTATTGCCAAAGGACCCACTCTTTCATGTTTCTCCTCGTGTATTTGGTTGCGTATGTTTTGTTCATGATATGTCTCCAGGTTTAGATAAACTATCAGCTAGAGCCATCAAATGTGTCTTCTTGGGATATTCTCGTCTTCAAAAAGGATATCGATGTTATTCTCCTGAAACCAAGAGGTACTACATGTCTGCTAATGTCACTTTTTTTGAGTCAACTCCCTTCTTCCTTTCCTCTATGCAGGATATTAGTTCGGTCCAAAATGTCCTACCTATACCCTTAGTGGAGCCATTTGTACCTCCTCCTCCTGACACCCAAAATTCCTCATCACTGCCTCTTATTACCTATCAACACAGGAGCCAAATGATCAGTCCCATGTCCCAAGATGAGTCTTCCTCAGCAGATCCTTCTCAATCATCCCCTGATACCACGATTCCTGATAATGATGACTCAAGTTGGCCCATTGCCATTCTCAAAGGTACTCGCTCTACTCGTAATCCACATCCAATTTACAATTTTCTTAGCTACCATAGATTGTCTCCTTCCTATTTTTCTTTTGTTTCTTCTGAATCCACTATTACTATTCCAAAGAATGTGAAAGAGACACTTGATCATCCTGGATGGCGACAAGCCATGATTGATGAAATGCAGGCTCTTGAGCACAATGGTACATGGAACTTAATTCCTCTTCCACATGGGAAGAAGACTGTTGGTTGTCGTTGGGTCTATGCCATTAAAGTTGGACCAAAAGGTGAAGTTGATCGACTCAAAGCTAGATTAGTAGCAAAAGGCTATACTCAGATCTATGGCCTGGACTATAGTGATACTTTTTCTCCTGTGGCCAAAATGACTACTGTTCGACTTTTCTTTGCTATGGCAGCTATCCGTCATTGGCCTCTTCATCAGTTAGATATCAAGAATGCGTTCTTGCATGGTGATCTTGAGGAGGAAATTTATGTGGAGCAACCTCCTGGTTTTGTTGCTCAGGGGGAGTCTAGTTTGGTTTGTAAGTTACATCGTTCTCTCTATGGTCTCAAACAATCTCCATGTGCTTGGTTTGGAAAGTTTAGTCACATTGTTCAAAGTTTTGGATTAAAACGAAGTGAAGCAGATCATTCTGTTTTTTATTATATTGCTTCAGGAAAATGTGTTTATTTAATTGTATATGTAGATGATATAGTCATTACAGGGAATGATGTTGATAAAATTTCTTTGCTAAAGAAACATTTATGCAATCACTTCCAAACTAAGGATCTTGGTTGTCTCAAATACTTTCTAGGGATTGAAGTGGCTCAATCAAAAGAAGGCATCGTAGTCTCCCAAAGAAAGTATGCTTTAGATATCTTGAAACCAGTAAACAACCCTATGGATCCAAATCAGAAATTAATGGCGGATCAAGGTGAACCGCTCTCTGATCCTGAGAGATATAGAAGACTTGTTGGGAAACTCATTTATCTCACCATTACCAGACCTGACCTATCTTTTGCCGTTGGAGTTGTGAGTCAATTTATGCAAAATCCACGTACTGATCATTGGAATACTGTCGTTCACATCCTAAAATATCTCAAAAAAGCTCCAGGACAAGGTCTATTGTATGAAGATAAAGGGGGTACCCAAATATCTGGGTATTGTGATGCTGATTGGGCTGGATCCCCTATGGACAGACGCTCCACTACAGGATATTGTGTTCTCATTGGAGGCAATATTATTTCTTGGAAAAGTAAGAAACAAAATGTAGTGGCCCGGTCTAGTGCTGAAGCTGAATATAGAGCAATGACATCTCTCACTTGTGAACTAGTGTGGGTGAAACAATTCCTTCAAGAACTGAAATTTTGTGAGATCCAACAGATGAAGATGTATTGTGACAATCAAGCAGCTCTCCACATTGCCTCTAATCCGGTGTTTCATGAAAAGACCAAACATATAGAACTTGATTGTCATTTTATTCATAAAAAATTGTTGTCTAAAGAAATTTGCATTGAATTTGTCGGGTCCAGTGATCAACTTGCAGATGTGTTGACAAAGTCTTTAAGAGGACCTCGAATTGAATTTATTTGTTCCAAGCTTGGTATATACAATTTGTATGCTCCAGCTTGAGGGGGAGTGTTAGAATTATTATTAGTTAGTGGTTAGTAGTTAGTAGTTGGTGGTTGGTGGTTGTTAGTAGTTAGTGGTTGTTGTTTTAAATGTTGTAATCCTATATATATATATATATATATATATGAGATCATAGAGTGGAGTAAGTATCCCACAAAATTAGAAATCTTCTTTTCATTCTCTTTACTCTCTTAACTATTCCATCTGTTTTTCTTTTATACATAACGATTTTGGAATCACATTTATTATTTTATTAAATTTCTCCTTCCACTCTATATATTCATATCCATCTCACCACTCTAGAAACACTTTTATAGTGCCTTTTTGCAACAAGATGGACTTTACAGTAGAGAAGCGGACATCCTTATTTATCTTTAAAGATACAATTATGCAACTACATGGTTTAGTATTATCTAGTTTAGTTGTCTCCATTGCTGTTTATGTGTATTAGATGCTCTGAAAAGTTTTTTTTTTTTTTTTCTTTTTGTTGTGTTTGCAAATCAAATTAATGGCATCAAAATTTAAGACTAAACTACCTCTGAGTTGGCTTAACTTGCTTGAATTTTGATCTTGACCTTTCTCTCCTTTATGTTGAAAAGGTGAAGACATCCCCCCAATGCAGTTGAAGGATGGTGTATTCAGATGTATAATGCAGTTGTATGATTGCCTTCTTACTGAGGTGCATGAGCGCTGCAAGAAGGGTTTAAGCTTGGCAAAACGCTTGAACAGTAGTTTGGCTTTCTTTTGTTATGATCTTCTATCCATCATTGAGCCACGGCAAGTTTTTGAGTTGGTATGCTGTTTATGTCTTTGTTCCCCATGTTTCTATATATTTGGATTTTTTTCTTTACTTTTAAGAATAACATATGCATATAAACAATAAAATAAATCTTTCTATTTGTAACTAACACAAGACACTCCTTTCATTGCTGTACACTGTCAATCTTGAACTTATGCTAAATTGCATGAACGTTATTTGATTTTGAGTCAATTAGTGCTTTTGACCATTGTTGTTAGATTCTCATGATTGGTGATTTGAATCTCGCACTTTTATACTTTATTTTTGACAATCCAGCATATTTAGTTGAGTCTAAGATTACTTTGTATCATATGATACATGCATGGACGAATGTGAAAAAGGCTGACCTGAATTTATTATGGCCAACTAACTGAAAGGTCATGAAGAGGCTTGTTGAAAATTAAGGTAAGCTGAAACAAAATGTGCTAAACTGACGAGTTCTAACTTCAGTAATCTGCCAAGGGATTAGGAAAGTGATAGGTCACAGTCACAGGATGGTACAACTTTTATGTCTTGTTGAATTGTATGGTTTAAGATTACAAAGGAGGAAAATATGAAATGAGATAATAATAATTTGAAATGGACATTGATTTAATGTGATACCGAAGACAAAGTTAATGTATATTATATTGGTAGATTGATACTAAACTCCTTGGGGATACAGTTTGGGGAAAACTACCCTGCCCATTTGGGGACATTCTCATTAAGTAGCCCGGATGAGCTTTACAATATAGGAGAAATTATACATTTAAAATAAATTGTAACGTCTTATTAAATAGTAATAACAGCCTAACAGACAGATTTATCTGTAGAATAGTAACTTCTAATTAAAAATACTCATGACAGCAGAAAGGGCATTAATGACTGTCAATAATTTTATTTAGTCAAGTGAAGGTTTGTTTGATAGCAAAATTTGATTGGCCCAAGGTTCAACTAGTTGCCAAAGGATAATCCCTAATCTTTTCATATAATTATGTTAAGGTTCACAACTTCCGAATTTAAAATCTCTCCCAAGGAATTTAAAAACAACATTATAAGGCATATGCAAAGTTAAGGCTGTCTACAATGACCCTCCCTTTCCTTCACATATGCAAGGGTAATGCTAGCATGCTAAATTATGGAAAAACTAAGGTAAAATTGTGTCTTGGTGACTGGTTGCTCATGCATTTGAATTAGGAAATAGCTTCTTTGTATTTACAAGGTAATCTTCCCCCCAAACCTTCACATAGCAAGGAGTTTTTTGACATTTAGGGATTTTAGTTTTTTAAGAAAAAAGGTCTCATTTCATGATGACTGAATTGTGTTATTTTCACCAGCTGAATGAGCAAGTTATCTTACTACTGAAAATTGATCCTTTTCTTGCCTTAGTTGTGGTCTCTCTGAGTATTGCCTTAATTGTAGGCTTAAGGGTAGTAGTTTAGTCTGACAATGACTATATATCTGACTTAAATAGTGCTTATAGAGTTTCGATAATTCTCATCTTACAAGTTAGTTTTTTACGGAAATTAGTCCAATTTCTTAGATGATTCTAGAGTATATCCTAGATCCATTGTTGGCTCACCTGCAATTGTGATGCTTCGTGCTGGTAGCCCTGGGATTGAGGGGAATTTTCCAAAAGCATTAATTGTGGACACTCTTAGCTTTCCTTAGTTTTGGCATCTTTGAGGGTTTCCATCTCACATCAGCTAGAGACATGAGTTAGAGTTTATAAAGATTGGACAGTTCTTGCCTTATAGGCCATTTTGTGGAATTGAGTTAAACCTTAAGATCAATTTCTAAGTGTTACCATTGGGTTTAACCTAGTATCCTGAAATGGTAACACATGATGTTGTTACAAGATCATGTGCTAAACTAGGGTTTCACACCATTGCATATGCCAGTTTGACACATGTTGTGTTAACAAAGCTTTATTGTTTATTGCCTTCATTCTTGTTTTCGATGAGATGGCCAAGAAGTGAGCACATTGCATTTTATCATACCAACAATAATATTAGGAGCCATCAATACTAATATTGTATATTCAAACGATCAACCACTGAGTTTGTTTACCAAATTATTTAGATGTCTTTAGATAAGTTATCTTTATTACAAATTTGACATATACCAATTGCATTTCTGGAGTTGAAGAGTCTCGAGACATGTATATCCCTGCTAGGATAAGGCTTTTTTATTATGTTGTGGTCTTATACTATTGTGTATCATGAAAATATAATAAGTAGGAAAATTGTTTTAGTGCTTATAATTATGTTCATTATAATAGTATCTTGTCTGTGGTATTGTTGAGACACAAAATACAGTCTATACTTCTGTTTTTTAAATTTGTGATTGTAATGGTTGGAAGGTGTTGCCTGTTATGTTTTGGTGTTCTTTTCCTGACTTTTTGCCTTGATCTAAATCTGCTATTTAATGCAATCTTAATTGTCTGTGGCAGGTATCACTATATCTCGACAAATTCTCTGGTGTATGTCAATCAGTTCTTCATGAATGCAAACTAACCTTTTTACAAATAATATGTGATCACGATCTTTTTGTGGAAATGCCTGGAAGGGACCCTTCAGATAGGTACTTTATCATATTTTTATCCTTGACGCAGTAGTAACTTCACAAAATCATAGAGGATAGAGCATGCATTCAAATTTTCTAACCAGTTTTTGAACTACTATTCTGTATTATATACTCCTATCAAAACTATTTACTGATGATATCAGTTGTAAAATACCTATGATGACCTATCTGATTGGACATGGTTTTCTTTCAATGTCAGTAGACTATTTTATGTTATACTTCATTGTACCGGAGGTTGTAAATAAACTTATTGGAGCAAATGGAATAGCATCTGTTTTTACTTATGATATATTAATGTACTGGTGTAAGTGTGCCCAGACGAAACTGCATAATTTTGTATTTCATAGAGTCCCACATGTTTTTGATGTGTTATATTGGTATAGGAACTACCTTTCTTCTGTATTAATACAAGAACTCTTTGTTACTTGGGATCATGAAGATGTGTCGTTACGAGCGAAGGTGAGTTTATTTAGAATATAGAGTAATCTTGATTTTCTTCTTTCTGATCAAAGTTCTTTCATTTTTTATTCATCACATATTTAGTTGATATTATCAACCTTGTTTATCCAATATGTAGGCAGCAAGAATCTTGGTAGTGCTCTTGTGCAAACATGAGTTTGATGTGAGATACCAGAAGCCTGAAGACAAGTTGTATATTGCTCAACTATATTTCCCACTTGTTGGGCAGGTGCATAGAATTATATTAATTATCATTTACTTACATTCATTATTTTAGTCGAAATTCCTGTATGGAGTTGTGTGTTGCCGTTAACTGCTTTTTATGGGGATTTCCATGTCATACATGGGAAATCTTCCCCTCGAGTTGTTAAGGTTAATTCATTTCTAATAATATTGTTGATTTACTAACTACCTACTGTTCTGCTTTCTTCTGATTTTATTCCCACAACTACTGTTTCCGAATCTGATATTTTCAAGAGAAGAAACTTTATTGTATACTTCATCAGTACTTATCTCATGTGATAGTAATGTATGTAGATTTTGTATTTGGGATTAGAGATGTGTGGAGTTGAAGCAAAATTGTGACTAGTAGTGGGAACCATATGATACTGAGCACAATTATTAGATTAGTCAATATTTTTTTATAATATCACTTTGTGAATTAATGTGATCCTGTGTTTACTTAACTTGTTATAATTTTTTAAACTGTTTCTTGATGTGCAATTTCTCTAATGTATTTTTGTTGGTCTTTTCAGATATTAGATGAAATGCCCGTTTTCTACAACCTTAATGCTGTTGAAAAGCGGGAAGTTTCAATTGTAATTTTGCAAATAGTTCGAAACCTTGATGATGCATCCCTTGTCAAGGCATGGCAGCAAAGCATTGCCCGAACTAGATTGTTTTTCAAGCTCATGGAGGAATGCTTGCTTCTATTTGAGGTTACACTTTATGCTGCAAATTCAGTTGCTGTATGTCAAAATCATGTGATTGATTGCCTTTGATTAATTTGAAATTTTGATGTTGCTGAACACCTGTGTCAATTTGGACATCATAGCTTTATTTGGTCTTTAATCTTGTGTTTTTCAATTGTTATAGTTGTTTTCTGTGTTGTTTTACAGCACAAAAAACCTGCTGATGGCATGTTACTTGGCTCGAGTTCTCGGAACCCTGTAGGAGAGACACCTGCTTCCCCTAAGTACTCTGACAGACTTTCTCCTGCAATTAACAACTATCTGTCTGAGGCCTCAAGGCAGGAAGTCAGGGTGAGCCGACTTCTGTAGAGCTAATTAGCTAGTACTAGTACAGTGTTCCAATGTGTTTTTGTGCTGTTTGATATCATTCTACTTGATTTGCTTATTTGGCTTAAGTACTGGATGTAAGTGTCTGCATTTGTGCATCTCATTCCTTAAGTTTTTTGTGGCAGCCTCAGGGAACACCAGATAATGGGTATTTATGGCAGAGAGTAAATTCCCAGTTAAGCTCCCCTAGCCAGCCATATTCCTTGAGAGAGGCTCTCGCTCAAGCACAGTCTTCTAGGATTGGAGCTTCTGCTCAAGCACTTCGAGAATCTTTACATCCACTTTTGAGACAGAAATTGGTACACTTATGCTTCTGTATTGATATTTTAATCTGCATATATTGTTGCTTCATTTTATGGGTTAAAGCTTACATGCAATGCACAATTTTCAAATTAACCATCAGCTGCAATGGACGCTGGATTTGGATAAATATACTCTTCAGTTGGAAGGAATTTCGACTCAATTGTTTTTTTGTGTTTCTCTTTTTTCGTTTAATTTTGGTAACTGACTCTCCACTTTCTTTTGTTATGAACGTGTATTTATTATAGGAACTTTGGGAGGAAAATTTGAGTGCCTCAGTCAGTCTTCAGGTTTTGGAGGTGACTGAGAAATTCTCCATGATGGCAGCATCCCACAGCATTGCCACTGATTATGGAAAACTTGATTGCATAACTGTTGTGTTCATGAGCTTTTTATCAAGAAATCAACCATTGACTTTTTGGAAAGCATTTTTTCCTGTATTTAACAGTGTGTTTGATTTACACGGGGCAACTTTGATGGCAAGGGAAAATGATCGTTTTCTAAAGCAAGTCACTTTCCATCTCCTTCGGCTTGCAGTTTTCCGAAATGAAAACATCCGGCAAAGGGCAGTTGTTGGGCTTCAAATACTTGTGAGGGTATGTTTTCTTCTATCTAAACTTTAAACATTGTTAGTTCCTTTGGCTTTTAACATATTAATCAAATACTTGTTTTTGGTTTCTCCAATTTGTGCAGAGTTCCTTTCATTACTTTATGCAGACAGCAAGATTGAGAGTCATGTTGATAATCACGTTATCAGAGCTAATGTCTGATGTGCAAGTGACTCAGATGAGATCTGATGGAAGCCTAGAAGAAAGTGGCGAAGCACGGCGACTTCGGAGGTCTTTATATGAAATGAAGGATGAAACTAAAAATACATACCTGTTGAAGGAGTGTGGATTACCCGAAAATGCTCTTGTAACCATACCAGAAAAAATGACAGAGAATAGGTGGTCCTGGTCTGAGGTGAAATATCTATCCGATAGCCTTCTTTTGGCCCTTGATGGCAGCTTGGAGCATGCACTGTTGGTGAGTTTTCATTATTTATCAGTCATTTAGGCTTTAATTGCAGTTATATTCATTATTCAGTCATTTCTATTTACGATGGTATACCAATTTAGACTATGCTTTATGCTATTTTCTCTATTACAATTACTGAGTCTGCTCTTTCTCTGATATTTTATTGTATAATATTTTTGTTTGTAATGGATGATGATGATTTAATTTAGGGCCAGTTTATGTATGCTTATTTTTTAAAAGAAGTGATCATTTCAATCTGGTACATTGTTTTCTTTAAAAAGGTTCACTTTAGTCCATTTAACAAAATTGTTAAAATAGTTTAACAAAGTTGACTGACGTGTATACCTATTTAACATTTTAATTAAAAATGACCATAATGAACTTTTGAAAAGCACAAAGTACCAGAATGAACCTTTTTAGATACATAAAGTTCCAAATTGAGATGTTTAAAACTCTGTTAACAAACTAGTCGGACAACTTTGTTAACCTATTTAATCTTTTTAGTTAAAAAGGATCAAAATGAACCCTTTTAAAACTGTGAATTACCAGATTGAGACTTTTGAAACTTAACATATAAAATCAAAAAAGCACCGTAACATAAGGACACGTCAGCCATCTCTGTTAACCTATTTAATCTTTTTAGTTAAAAAGGATCAAAATGAACCCTTTTAGTAAAGTACCATATTGAGACTTTTGAAATTGATCATATCAAAACATAATTGACATAACATAAAGGGCTAATAATAACATTTAGCCTTATGTTAATAAATTAAGCATATTTCTACTTTTTTTTATGTGAATGTCTAAATTGCATATTTTTATAATAAAGAAATCCTATCTGCTTTTTAAATGAGTGAGTTTTTTAAAAATTGATTATTTCAGGCACTTATTTTAAGTTAAAACAAAGTGGCCCTTAATAGGGTGTTTTTCTTGTACCAAAAGTCAATTTGTCCCACCATATAAGTAATTTAAATAATAGAAACAGTAAGAATAATAGGATCCTATTTCTTTGTTAAATGTCCAAACTTAATTTTTTATATATACAAATGAAATGTTAGGTATGTTCTATAAATATAAAGCCATTAATTATGGTTTTACCTGGCTTTGAGAGATGGTTCATGACATGGTACTAAAGCCTTTTCTGAATTAATCACTAGATAGGTGGGTTTGTGCATTATCCATTTCTCTTGTAAAGGATTCTTGCTGGAGACATCTGGTTAGAGATGTCATGAAAAGTGTAAGACAATTGTTGTTGGTTTAAGCGTTTCAGGGGATGGTTCATCACTATGATGTCTATCAGTTAAGAAAGGGAAAATGCCGGTGAGGATAAGATTCCCCCAAAAGTAGAATAAGTTGAAATAGGGAAGCTCGCGGTTGTCGTGGTATTGGTTCTAGTACTGAGACTTTTTGTGAAAGTCATGATGAATTTGTTGGTGGGTATGTTGCTTTGATTGGTGTAAATAACTACAGCTTTCAAGCTATGCTCGTAGCTGCTATCCTGGCTATTGGGGAAGCTCATCTGTGAGGTTGGCATCAGCTTTGTTGGAAAGTGACTCTATGCTCTTAATTAACTCTTTTTGAAGGATGTCACTTCGATGCCCTGGGATTAGGTGCTATTAGCTTATGCTCTTCTATGAGTTTTGTTGTCACTCATATTTTTAGAGGCGGTGGTAATGTGCATGATGATAGGGCTGCTAAATTTGGCTTTGTTAGTAGACAGGAGTTTATATGGTTTAACTCTTCACCGAACTGTATCTGGGATAGTTTTGTTAGAGATAGGCTTTGTTTTCCTGATTTTAGATTTTCTTGAATTCTTGCATGATTTTTGGCCTGGGCTCTTCATGTGTTGTTTCGTATTTTTTTTTTTTTTTTTATATTTTGGGCTCGTGTGATTGTTGGAAATTGGGGTTGCAACTTTGTTAAGATGTCTCTTTTCCATATCTTTTGCCAATTTTTACTTCCAAAGGAAATCGCCAAAAACATATGCAGGAGAAAACAGAAAAAGGAGTCATCGTCTTAGGAACCCACCACAAAAACTCCTGTGTTAAAATTGTAGTTACTCTGAGTTTATATCAAGATTGATTGTCATGGGCATTTAATTTCAGGCCCCCATGATGACTATGGATAGATATGCTGCTGCTGAAAGCTTCTATAAACTGGCGATGGCATTTGCCCCAGTCCCTGATCTTCACATAATGTGGTTGCTTCATCTGTGTGATGCACACCAGGAAATGCAATCATGGGCAGAAGCTGCTCAATGTGCTGTTGCTGTTGCTGGTGTTGTAATGCAGGTAAAGGCAATTAATTTATTTATTCATGATTTGTGCAACTTAATAATTTCCAGAAAATACATAAAGTATTGTGATGGACATATTTAACACAAATTATATATGCCAACAATATTGATGTGGTATTTTTCTTAGGATCTAGATCAGTGTAGTTAGGATTTTCAGTTACTGATTTTTGCAAGTTTTATTTAATGTATAAAACGAGACCAGACCAATTATGCTTTGAATTTTCATGATTGTTCTTCAATCTAACGGACAAATGAAGTTGCAATTTGCGTCCTTGAACCATACTTAACTTTCTTTATGGATTGGCTGCCACCTTTTAGCTGATTTTTTTTGCATGTTATAACAGTTATCTTCATGTTTTGTACTCTCTTGCTTCAATGGTTTTATCAGACAAAATTTAATCCTAGGCCAACTTGGTCAAGCAGGTGATAGTGCTAAATAACCTAATGCATATATTTATACTTTGTTAAACATCTGAAATGATAAGACTACTAACTATTTAAGAGTTGGGAAATATAAATTTAAGGAAACCAAATCATAGGGTTCATTCTTTTGATTCTTACACTATTAATATTTTTATATTTTAACTACTGTAATAGCCATCCTTCCATTTTAGGGACCGTTATAATATTTACTTTATGCCATGGGAGGAGGGGTTAGATCTGAAAAGTTCCTCTGGTTTATATGGTAATACTACTATTTTCATGTTTTACACCATTTTTAAATTGATGCAGGCCCTTGTTGCCAGAAATGATGGTGTTTGGAGCAAAGACCACGTTGCTGCTTTACGGAAGATTTGTCCTATGGTCAGCAATGAGATCACCTCTGAAGCATCTGCTGCTGAAGTTGAGGGATATGGGGCTTCAAAACTGACTGTTGACTCTGCTGTGAAATACTTGCAGCTTGCAAATAAGCTCTTCTCACAAGCTGAGCTTTTTCATTTCTGTGCAAGCATTCTTGAACTTGTAATACCAGTTTACAAAAGTAGGAGAGCGTATGGACAGTTGGCTAAATGTCACACATTACTTACCAATATTTATGAATCAATTCTTGAACAGGAATCTAGTCCAATTCCTTTTACAGATGCAACGTACTACAGGGTTGGATTTTATGGTGACAGGTTTGGAAAACTTGATAAGAAGGAGTATGTGTACCGTGAGCCTCGTGATGTACGTCTAGGTGACATAATGGAAAAACTTAGTCACATATACGAGTCTAGAATGGATGGTAATCACACTTTGCATATTATTCCAGATTCTAGACAAGTGAAGGCAGAGGAGTTACAGCCTGGTGTCTGTTACCTTCAGATTACAGCTGTTGATCCAGTCATGGAAGATGAGGATTTAGGAAGTAGGAGAGAAAGAATTTTCTCTCTCTCTACAGGAAGTGTTCGAGCCCGAGTATTTGACCGATTCTTGTTTGATACACCATTTACCAAAAATGGCAAGACTCAAGGAGGATTGGAAGATCAGTGGAAGAGACGCACAGTTCTTCAGACTGAGGGTTCCTTTCCAGCTTTAGTAAATAGGCTATTGGTAATCAAATCCGAGTCCCTGGAATTCTCTCCTGTAGAAAATGCAATCGGAATGATTGAAACACGAACCGCCGCATTAAGAAATGAGCTTGAAGAGCCTCGAAGTTCTGAGGGTGATCAACTTCCAAGACTCCAGAGTCTACAAAGAATCCTCCAAGGCAGTGTTGCTGTACAAGTATGTTTTACTATTGGTGGTCACATAGTATTCTTTCTTCTGTTTTTATTTTTGAAAAAAATATGGTTACAAGTATCCTTAATTCTTAAAACCGGACTGGACCTACCTGACTGGAAAACCAATGAGTGCTTGGTCCAAATAAACTACTGAACTGGCCTTGACAAAGCAAAAAAAAAAACCTGTTCACAATGGATTAATGGGAAATGATTACTACGATTTTTTATTTATTTGAAAAATCAACCAAAGTATTTGTCATTTCCTTTTATTTTGGATGTAAACTTGTTCGTGTTAATAGACATTATTGTTTTGAAACTTCGATCCAAATATTATGATATATTTGATTTGTACATTTGTGTTTACTAATGTTTATAATCTATACAATGATTTTTTTTTTAAATTGCGTTATAAGTTATAATAACATGGATTATATATATATATTATTATTATTATGCTATTACCACTTTGACCAAAATTCAAACATTAAATCATTGAATTAAAAACATTAATTCAATGATCGGTCAGGTTAGGAAAAAAAAAACAGTTTGTATTTCTGGTAATCCTAATTGTAAGTTAAAACCCATATTTGAATATTGCGTATTTTTGGTTTTCCTAATCTGACAGCACACTTCGATTTGTTCAGGTGAATAGTGGAGTCTTGAGTGTTTGCACAGCCTTCTTGTCTGGGGAGCCTGCAACAAGGTTGCGGTCACAGGAACTGCAACAACTTATAGCAGCCCTTCTGGAGTTCATGGCTGTTTGTAAACGTGCCATCCGCGTACATTTCAGATTGATTGGCGAGGAAGATCAGGATTTCCACACACAACTTGTAAATGGTTTCCAGTCACTAACAGCAGAGTTATCACATTACATTCCTGCCATTCTCTCAGAGCTATGACAATGTCACAAGCGTTTAATTTCCATGTGTTGGTGTAGTTTTCTGCCTGGTTCCCTTTGCCCCGGCTTTCTATCGCGTGCAAAGATGTGTAATTGCATTTGCATTGTGGTTCGTATATTTAGAATTATGCGAACCAGGTGATTCAGGAAAACACTAATCATCCTGTTTATGTATGAAGATGTTTATAGTTTCCCCACTTTCCCCATTTTAGTTTGTGGTGCGGGGAATGCCATTTGTGTAATATCTTTATTGTTTAAGTTGTTTAGCCATACAGCTTTTGTGAATGTGTACTATTTTGTGTACATGAGAATCCTAGGGCATTTAATTCACAAATTAACTAAAAGGCATGGAAATTCTGTTAGTAATTTTTTTGGTACATCATTGTTATTTGTAAGTATAAACTTAAATGTGTTTTCCTGTAAACACAGTCTAATGTTAGTCTAGATTCCATTTTTTAGCGCACAAATTTTTATTTTTATAGAATAATAGAACATTTTAAATATATCTGACATTTTATTTTAGCGCACAAAATGCTCCTTTGGTTGCACATCATGAAAATTAAGCATTCCTTTATAAAGCTCTCTTTTTTTTAAGATGGACAAGTCTTTATTCAATAAGTGGATTAGTAAAGATGTCAACCGATTAACTATTATTAGATGCAAACAATAGGGCCTACGTATTGGTGAAATATTGCATTGAAATATCTTATCCTTCGAAAATTTTAAATCATATCTTTCCTTTTTACATTATAGTTAAATAAATGTATTAAATGACAGGGATAGGATATAATGCTATTTAAGCGAAGAACACGCATATATTGAACTAATTTATCTTTATATAAAATATTTGTTCCTTATTTTGGTCGTCCTTTGGTCTACAATAAGCCGGTGGGTTAGAAGTTATGGTACCGTGGGCTCGTTCATTATATTTTTTATTATATTTTATTATTTTTAAATCAAATTTTTCAATAAATTTAATGATAAAATTATCATTATCAATAATTCAATATATATATATATATATTTATTTCAAGTTAATAATATAAATTGATATATATTTTAACAAATTATATTTTAGAATAATTAAATTAAGATAAAATTTATATAATAATAAATACATATATATAACAGTAAAAAATTATTAAATCTTTATTTTTTATATTGACAAGTTTAAATATTTAAATGAAAATTACATTATATTTATTTATTTGATAAAACTTCACATTGTTTTATCAGTGAATAATTTTCACATCTTCAGTTCAAAATAATTAATGTCCGGATCATTAGATGGAAAGATCTCTCTAATTTTCTATCTTTGTCATTTTCTCCCTTATCTTCAACAACACATAAAATTGAATAAAAAAATATTAGTCAAAAAAAGGATAATAAAAAATAAAAATAAATAATATTTGAATTAGTAAATTGGGCTGCGGATTGGTCCAAAGTTTAGCAAAATGAACCAAAATGGATTGACGGACTGAAAATACTAATTCACCTCGTCATATTATGGTGGGCTGGTCCAACCCGACTAATCCGTTTTGCCAACTCTCTTTATAAGAACGAGATTTGGTTAGTTAATTTTCATATGAATTAAATTTCTATATCACTTTTAATTTTACTCTTCCTTTAGCAGCCAACGCTCATCTCATCTGGTTCTGGAGGGGACTAAAATTTGTTTTAATCCATATATCCACCGATTTGTTATTTTCTATATATGATTTTTGTTATTTTCTTGTCATATAGTTTTTCAATATTTACATTGATATTAAGTTTAAAATTTTACGACCCATGGATTAGACAAATGGACTTGTTAGATCCCATGTCTTATAATTTTTTAATCATATGTAGGTTAATTCACTTAGTATATCTCTTTTCATAAATCACACTTTCATGTATTAGTAAAAAAGAAACGGATTAATCCACTGTCAAAGTCAACTTAAATTAATATCATACGTGAGAGGACTAAATTTATTTTAAATAATCAATAATTTTTTTCAATCTAATTCAACTTTAACCATCATTGAGCTCTTTCTCTCAAAATATATTAAAATGCTATACTACTAGAGTTTAACCAGGCAAAACACATTGTAGTTATTTTTCTTAATTATAAATTCGAACTAGAAAATGAAAAGCGAACATATGGATAAACCCCATAAACCCCCAAATCCCGAAATGAACCCCAGAAACTAGCAATGGAACTCTCCATTCCGCACAACCCCAATCGTCTTCCCTTTTCCTCATCACCACCACTCTCCCGAAACCCCAACATTTTCACTCTAACCGCACCACGCGCCGGCAGAAAACTCCGGTTACGAGTTTCGGCCACCGCTGAACCTGATGGGGCGTCGTGGTCGCAGTCGCTGCGGCGTGGGTCGCGGCGGTTCTGGGTTAAGTTTGGGGAAATGGTGAAGAAGGAGACGGGTCTCGACCTTGAAAACGGCAGCGTGAAGAAGGTTGCCGAAGTTGTTAGCGGGGATGAATTGCGAAGGGTTGGGACTCAGTGGTTGTCTCAGTTTATCGATTGGAACCGGTGGGAACGGTGGAAGGTAATGCATTCAATTACTGCGTTGGGATTGTGTTGTTAGTTTCATGTTTATTTGTGTTATTAATTTCATGTTTTCTTTTTCTTTGTATTTTTGACGTTGTGACCCGTGAGTTCGAGTGTGGGAATGTTGCGTTAGTAATTTATGTTCATATTTCCGTTGTACTGGAGACGCATTTGGATGGAGATAGGAATCAAAGTGACTGAAAATGGGAAAAGGAAAAGGTTTGGTTAAACCAAAGAGAGTGTTGACTGTTGACTGAGAGCAAAAACTGGTTTCCACATTTGATGATGATAGCGAAACTACTGTGGGTCCTGACACAGTGTGGACTTGGTTACTCGCAATAAAGGAATGTGAATAAACCAATTCGATACAGTGATAAATTGTCTCTTTTCATTATGACATTGCTGCTGCTTATTGTTACTGCTTGCCATTACCCTGCTTTTCTCATTACCGATTATGTTATTCTGTTTGGGTACTGGGCTGTATTGTGATCCTAGCGCAGTATGTAAGTCTTAGTATGACATGAATAAAGGAAGAAGGAACTTAGTTATTGTTTTTTTTTCTTATTTTGGCAGGTTGCTTTTGTCCTCTAATTCAAGGTTTTCTTGTGACCCTATCAGATGATGTTTTACGTTTTCAATTTTTGGTTTTCATTAATGATCATACAGATTTTTTTTTTTTTATTTTTGCTTTTTTTTGTGACTCAGTCGGTGTCTCAATTATTCTATTGAAATCAGTAGGATTGGTGGGAAGTGGCTTGTTTATTGCTGTATTGGGATTGTGTTACTAATTTCATTTTTTTTTATCTTGTTAAACTTGTGTGGTAGTGTTTTATGATTTTACTTTCTGGTTTTAGTAAACTAGCCTTTGAGAGTAAGTGCCAAAGTGAAGATTTTGCTATTGTGTGAAACTATTAGAGTTTGAGGAGAGAACAAAAGTACACAAAAATAATAGAAGATCTGGTGTATTCAGAACTATTGAATATAGAAAACAAAAACTGTATTAAAAGACTATGTAAATCAATTATACCAGACCCAAAATATAAAGACTGAAATAAGCAGTTACAAACATAACCGCCTAATAACTGAGCAACAGTTACAATCATAACCACCACCTAATAACTGAAGCAAAGACTGCAACAACACTTGTACCAAACTAATCCGCCCCCTCAAACTCAAGGTCAGGGAGAAGAAACAATAAAATCCTGAACTTTGAGTTTGGACCGAAGAAGCTGAAAGTGGGTAGGATAGAGAGGCTTGGTAAGAGCATTGATCCACTAATCCAGACAGGGAATATGACAAACTTCAAGTTGATGAGCCAAGACATGATCCCTAACACAAAAAACATCAATTTGCATGTTTTGTTTTGGAGTGAAAAATAGGATTGTGAGTAATGGCAACAACAATCTGATTGTCAGACAACATAATTGGAGTGGAGAACGAAATAGATAGTTCTTTTAAAAGTTCTTGAATCCACAATAGTTCAACAGAAGGTTGAGCCAAACTTTGGTATTCAACTTTAGTGTTGGAACGAGCAATAACACTATTGGAAGTCTCACATCCCCTACCTTATGTCATGTGGTATGGTTTAAATACTTGTTAGACAACTCCACATATTGTCAATTGGTTTTATGTTGGAATCTTAACATGATATCAAAGCCAAAACCTAACTTCTTTTCAATTATTTTCTTAGGCCAAAAGTTGTCCTTAAAAGACCCTTTGTCCGGTCCGGCAGACTTTGTTGGAGGGGACATGTTGGAAGTCCCACATCGCCTGCGTCATGTCATGTTGTATGGTTTAAACACCTATTAGGCAACTCCACATATTGCCAATTGGTTTTATGTTGGAACTTTAATAGACACGTTGCTTATGAGAGCACCATGAAATAAGATTGGGACCCAAAAAATAGTCGAGCCGGAGGTGGATTTTCTATCATCAACATGAGAAGCCCAGTCTGCATGACACATAGCTGTAATAGAAAGGGGCTTAGAGGCACTAGTAGATTGTACATGAAGACCATAGGAAATAGTTCCTTTAAGATATCGCAAAATCCTTTTTACAACAATTTAGTGTGCATCTAGTGGATTAGCCATAAACTGACAAACCTTATTCACAGCATAGCTGATATCTGGACGACTAAGAGTAGCATATTGCAATGCTCCAACAACTGATCGATAAAGAGTGAGATAAGAAAAAGTATCAGACCCAGTCTTAGACAGTCTACAGGATGAAACCATAGGAGAAGAAATAGGATGAGCTTTAGCCATTTAGGTTTTATTCAAAAAATCGCGGACGTACTTGCTTTGAGTTAGCACCAAGGACTTGTCAGATTGATAATTGATTTCAATGCCCAAAAAATAGTCAAGTTTACTTAGTTGCTCGAGAGAGAAGTGAGAATGCAAACTGTGAATAATTTGATGGAGGAGAATAGCAGATGAACTTGTAATGATAATGTCATCAACATAAACTAAGATGTAAACCGTGTGAGAATCATGATGATAGATAATAGGGAGGGATATGCTTTGCTAGAAGAAAAGCCAAGCTTTAAGAGGGTAGTTTGAAGCTTGGCAAACCATTGCCAGGGAGCCTATTTAAGACCATAGATGACTTTATTGAGTTGACAAACCAGAGTTTTATTTGCAACTTCAAATCCAGGAGGTTGTACCATATAAATACATTCATCAAGACTCCCATTCAAAAAAGCATTGTTAACATCCAAATGAAACAAATCCTAGTTATTAGTTAAGACAATTGTGAGGATGATTCTAATGGTAATGAGTTTGATTACTAGGGAGAAAGTTTCATGAAAATCAAATCCTGGAACCTGATGAAGCCTTTGGCAACCAACCGGGCTTTATATTTATTAACAGAGATATCAGAATTTTCTTTAATCCGAAACACCCATTTGCAACTAGCAGCCTTGCGGTCAGGAGGGAGACGATCCAAATGTCAAGTGTGATTATGAAGAAGTGCAACAAACTCTTGTTGGATAGGAACAACCCAATGCTGATTCTTGAGAGCTTGTGAGACACTTGAAGGTTCAATACGAGTTGCAAGTTTTGTACCTGTTTTGCATGGAATGAGTATTAACTAGCCTAGAGATAGGAGGAGACACATAGGAAACAAATGCAGGAACATCAGGAGCATACAGAGGAGGGGAAATAATAGATGTAGGGGGAGGAGAGAGATTTGGTGAGAGTGAAATATTTATTGGGGTCAGGTGCAAAGATATGAGGCTGAGAAAACAGATCACAATAAGGGAATCTAAAAATGATATCCTTAGATGTGTAAAGACGACCAGATGGGAAAGACACATATAACCCTTGTGGAAAGGGGAATAACTAAGAAACACACTCTTAGGAGCAAAAATCTATTTTATGACGGTTATATGGGCGGAGAAAAGGAAAACAGGCACAACCCAAGACTTTTATAAATGAGTAGTCAGGAGGGGTGGTGTACAAAACAGTGTAAGGCACCTTGAACTGTAATGAGGCAATGGTTAATCTGTTAATTAAATAAACTGCTGTTTGGACAGCAAAATCCCAAAACTTTAAGGGTAGAGAAGCGTGATGCAATAAAGTTAAACCTAGTTTAGTAATGTGTCTATGTTTGCATTCAACAACACCATTTTGGTGATGAATATGAGGGCAAATAATCCTGTAAAGAATGCCATGAGTAGTAAGAAAAGATGTAAATGACCGAAACTCACCCCGCCCCCAAAATCAGTTTGAATACTTTTAATCTTGATATTGAATTGAAGTTCAACCATAGCTTTAAAATTCTGAAATATAGTGCAGGCTTCAAATTTGTGTTTAATAGCATACAACCAAGTGAACTGAGAAAAGGCATCAACAAAACACACATAATACAAATAACCATGAGTGGATGGAACATGTGAAGGACCCCAAAGATCACTGAAGATTAATTCTAAAAGAGAATTATAAACTGTATTAGATAAAAAAGAAGGTAATCTATGAGACTTGCCAACACAACAAGATGAATAAAAATCAACAACTTTATTAGAAGTGGTAACATTACATTGGTGCAAAACAAATTTTAAGACATTTATATTTGGGTGGCCTAACCTAGCATGTCACAAATTACAAATAGCAGAGGAAGAAGAAATAGTAGTAGTTGTAGGAATAGGAGAACTAGTGGTAGTATGAAACTGAGGAGTCTTGAACATAACAGACAAGGTAATCAGACTCGAGAGTCTACGTAGACTCGTGGGAGGTCTGTAGACTTGACTCGTAAACTCGACTTGTAGACTCATAAGAGTCTACTTCATATGAAAAATACCAATTTAACAATAAGTATGATAATATCAATTCTACATTACTAACACTAATAAGATTTTTGGTGATGGAGGGAACATGCAATAATTTATGTAAGTAAAGAGAATTTGGAAGACAAGAGGAACCAAAACCAAGAACAGACAAACCTTCTCCATTGCCAACATGAATCGTATCAGGCCGATCAAAGGGAGTGAACTCCTGAATATTTGAGAGTCTCCAGTAACATGAAAAGAAGCCCCAAAATCGGGTATCCAAGAAGAGGAGCATGGTGCAGGGATTGAATTAGCAAGCATAGCACTGAGAACATCAACAGGAGGTCTTGAAGATAGATTAATCCAAGTCTTGGACTTTGGCTGAGCAGATTAAGTGATGGAAGAGGACATTGGCTAATTGGTGGGAGGGTCATAAAGCACAACAAAATCAGAGGGTTGAAAAGTGAAGTAACTCCGATAGAAGCATACATTGCCCTTATGACCATATTTAAGACAAATTTGACATTGAAAATTTGCATAGCGGCCACGAATATTTTCACCACCACGATTGAGACCTACTTTAAAGGAATTGCCACAACCAAAAGACCTGACCTGGGAGATGTAGAGTTGGAAGGTGCTTGGGAATAGTGAATTGAAGGAGGAAAAAACTTTTGTTGGTGGTGGGTGGTCCGAGATTCATGAGCAAGAAGCATGGCCTCAACTTCGGTGATGGAAGATGACTCAAATTTGCTTTAAATACCAGAAATCACAGGAGCATATTTAGGTGGAAGACCTTTAAGGATGATATCAATATATTCATCAGGCTTGACTGGACAACCAATTCTAGTAAGGTCATCTACAATATACTTTATTTGACCCAAGAATTCCTTCATAGTTTAGTTTTCAAGAGTATGAGTACTCAAATCGGTGTGTAATT